TCTATTCTCAACGGGAGTTAAGAGAAAAGCAACAGAAACGGAGTCACGAGGACTGCGCGCATACTAAGCGCCAGTTGAAGTTTCAAAGAGTTGAGCTTTTCTTTAACAAAAAAAGCAGTATGATCACGACTTACTGGATCTACATGGGAAAAAAGTGTCTGATCGATGTCTCCCGATGGTGAGTAGTTTCTGCAACTCAATACTTCCAATGTATAGAGGAATCGGTATGAGTCGGTGAGTCGGTAAATGACCTTACGGACTCACTAACGTGTTTTAAGAATCCGACACACCCACTCGTGTTCTGAACTAATGTTTCTCTCTAAAATCTGTCAAGATAAAAAATTAAAACACGGTTCTGTATTTTTTCTAGATCAAAAACTGACAAAACGGCGAAAAATACCGTATTTTGGGCACCAATACGTCGACTTTGAGTGCCAGTGATGAGATACAGCTTAATCAATGTACTTTTGGACGCTGATTCCGATGGTGAAAGCCGCACCTCTTTGTTGCTGGCGGAGACAAAGTTAGACGCATTTTATTTTCCTAGTGGAAAGTAGATTTGTGAAATATACCAATTTCCGTATTTTCATTGTAACTTTTTACTTAAGCGTAGGGGTATGACAGTTCCATATCAACTTCTATCATAGGAACCGTTGAATAGTTCTTTTGAAAGGAGCTGATATGTTTGAATAGCTCTTTTGCAAGGAACTGATATCTTCGAACAGTTTGGTACATTCCACTTACTTTATTAACTGGAGTTATAGATATAACCTAGACTTAATTTTTCTATAGCGCGTTTTAATAAAGTGGCAATAAAGCGATCTTTGTTTTTCAATAAATGCGATGACATATGAGCTTTTGTCTGAAATAGATAACGTGTAATCTCTGAGTTAGTTCACTAATAAAAACAATGATTTACTTACATATTCATGTTCCAAGGGAACAAGGATATCAATGGTCCATCAAAATTAGTTGTTCGGAACAACTGAATTTGATGGACCATTAATATCCTGATACCAACTTGTTAATACCTGACAAACATTGTGAACATATTCTTCATCAGCCTATCTTTAGCGCCGCCACGAAGGCAGCTCTCGTTATACAAATTCGAAAGTTTTCTATTTACATTTTCTGTACGAGATTTGTCTAACTTTATCACATCTCTAGTCGCCATTCTAGTTCTCTGCGAGAAAATCAAGCTCAGTTCCTTTCAAGAGAACTCTACAAACATATCAGCTTCTTTCAAAAGAGCTGTTCGAACATATCAGCTGCTTTCAAAAGAGCTGTTCAACAGTTCTTTCGCTCAAATGAGCTGAACTTATAAGCTGGAACTGTTACAGGTCTACTTAAGCGTCTACAAAATTTGAGAGACATCTCATTGTGTTCACAAGTGAACGGGTTATCCAATGGTGTGTTGAAAAATGTTTCTTAATGGTTTCTGGAACTTATAGGATTTGTAAAAAACCGGGTTTTTCAGAGATCTAGATGTCGTGGCTCTGAGATCTGGCATAAGTTTTCTATATCCAGGTATGTGGCTTTCATCATTGGAATCACCGTCCAAAAGTACATTGATTAAGCTGTATCTTATCAGTGGCACTCAAAGTCGACGTATTGGTGGTTACTATTATACGGACTTTTCCTTAACATATGTACGAATTTTGCGATTTTTCATCGAAGATAAAAAAAAATTAGGATACCAAAAATTTCGATGTTCTAAGAGGGGAGTAGGGGCAAAACTTTTTTTCGAAAAAGTGAATCGGCTATTTTTTTCAGAATTCGATGCTGATTACAACCGTGTGATTTTTTCGGCAAAAAATGGGGGATGAAAAATGACCTTACGGGCACTCTTTATTCTTAAAACGTTTCCTATAAACGCTTTTTTTTGTCGCGTCACGATCACAGCGCTGTGTTTCGACAATTTAAATTTTGTCCTTACTGTTCCTGATTAAAAAAATCTTGTTTATATATTGATTAATAATCGTTTTACATCGAAATTCTGATAAGTGGACGTTCGATGAACAAATATACAGGAGAAAAGTAAATATAAACTATAGATGAAAAACAAATCTTCAATACGAATAAAAACATGTATGATTTCACGTCGGATTATATCAATGTGACATTCTGATACTAAAATTGCGAAAATCATTAATGATAGAAAGCAAACAAAAATGACGAGAAGAGGTGTAAAAAAATCACAATGTTTTGACAATTGCTGCAACCACGTTTGGTCATAACTCGTATGATTAGAAATATGTACTTCACATATAACAATACTTTGTATTATAATTATGCCTGATATAAAATCAATACATATGAAAGATGGAGTTAACTGATGAATATAGATAAACATAACTGAAAATAAACCTAGAGATACTTGAAACTTCATTTACTAAATTTAACAATATAGTCGAAATGGATGTTAGTATAATGACTAGAATAACAGGAACAATGATTACATTCAAACATTTTCAAGTAATATGCAAACTAAACTTATAGCATTGAACGACTACTCGTTTAATAGCCAATAAACTAGTCAACTACATGGCCATGAGAGGTAGAAAAGCTGTTATTTGTCCTATTATTAATATTATGTAATCACCATTAATATTAGATTTGTAAAAATATATAAATAATGCATCTCCAAACAAATATCGAACTGACTGAGCAAAATCTAATTTAATAAAGAACACAATTTGTTATTTGAATTCTTGGACATAAAAACGTTTAGATACTTAACAAATTATTAATCACACTATCAGAATGCGACGAATTACTAGACACATTAGTTGTATGTGATGGCTATGTTTTGAAACAAAGTCGAGAGCATAAAACAAAAAAGAAATATAATTGTCATCTGATAAACCTTCGAGACATATATTTTCAATTCTGTGTGTAACATAATATCGACAATTCGTTATGATTGATGAACCCATAAAAAATTTATGTTAGAAGAGAATTTCATAATCAGTCAAAAAAACCTTTCTCAGTAAACATTAAAAATGGGACTTAACAAAATGTTATAGTTATTTAGAAAGTAATTTAGTTGTAGATAAAGAGTCGTTTAAACCGGCAGATTTGAAAAGATTTTGCTTGAAAAACTAGATTTACACAAAAATATACATGTGTATCGACGGTTGATTAGATGACAATTATATTTCTCTTGTATTTTACGCTCTCGATTTTGTTTCAAAACATAATCATCGTACACGAATACTAATTATTGTAATTTGTTTATCAAAACTTAAGTGAGAGAGTGTACGTATACACCAGGGCTCGAAACCGGCCTACACTTTTGAGGCCTGGTCTGTCTGCGTCAGGCCTGTAATGTTTAGATCTGTCTGGGCCTGTCGATATATTTCCTGGGCCTTGCGTGTCTGCCTGCTATTGTTCTCGGTCTACCCTGGCCTGGTCTGTAGAAGCCTGATCATTTTTTAATAAACAAAATGTACAAATAATAGTAACATAAGATGAAAAGAAAAGTGACAAATAATTAAACAATATATCTGAGTAAAAAAATTTGGTTTTTGTTCAAGTATTTTCTGAACTGATCTAACTAACAAGATATCCTCAATCGTGCCAGGATTTAGTGATGCACGGCGTTCATTAATAACCAGGCTAGGCCGCCTGGTGTTTTCAAAGGTCTGCCTGAATCTGTTTGAGTTTAGGCCTGGTCTGCCTTAGCCTGATGCAGGCCGAAAATTTGTAGCCTGGTCTGTCTGTAACAGGCAGGCTGCCTGGCCTGGTTCGAGCCCTGGTATACACAATGGCTTTAGAGGATAATTGAAATGAGAAAGGAAAATAAAACTCTGCTACAGTACTAAACACTATGCATAAAAGCGTATTTTAAACAGATATTATGTTGATATAACTTTGTCACGCTCGGTAGTGTAAAAAGACTATAAGAAGTAATTGATTTTAAATATAGCTTATGTAGTTATCGCTAGTCAGGTCAATACTGCCAAATCTATTAGAAAGCTCACTTTATTGAGATGAATAACTGACGTTCATTCTGTCAGAAACTCAGTCTCGAGGACTGCGCGTGTAGTAAGCGCCAGTTCAAGTTTTCGAAGACTTGAGCATTTCTCTAACGAAAAAAACAGTTGTAAGAAAAAATTTATGTATTTTGTATCTAATGGGATTCTGATTATAATGTATATCGCTGCTATATCATTGTTCGCTCGAATTTTAGCGTAAACTGGCTCCTCTTAGAACCATAGAATATATGAATAATTTCTCTCGAATTTTCAGGACAGTACATAATATTCAATTTGTGGCAGTATGACTTGATACTATGTTACTATTAGCTGAATGAATTGTTTTTGGAAATTGTTTTTTTTCAACTTCTTTTAAAGTGTATTGAGTGTGTCCTTATTATGTGTATCCTTATTATGTACACTAGCTAAACGCAAAACATGTTGTTGTTTTTTGTCAAATACCCGTCAGTCTTCCTTTTTCCATCATAATATGAAAAATAGCAACCAAAACGACTTTTGAATGTATAGTTTCGTTTGTTACAATTGCTTTTTATTTCGTTTCTCTTTCATTATGACAAAAACAACAAAATCTCACTTGATGCAATTTACACGTCATTTGTCCGACGTATTATGTACGACGAAAAAATCTATTGATTTAAAATTTTCATTTCTTCTAATGTTTACGCTGCAACTGAATATTAACGGTGTAAGATTAGTTCATGGCCAATAGTTTAGAAATATTATGCATGATTCTTTGCTTTTTAATATTAATATTTTCAGAGAAAAAAAATTGTTTAGAAGTTGTAAAATCCTTAAAACTTTTTTTCGTTTCTCTCATACGAAAAACAGTTGCAAGAAAATGTGACTTGAAAAATGCAAATACGAAAAGCTATATCTCAATATAAACATATAAAAAAGTTTTGGCAAAAAAATAATTTCAGAATAACGAAGAATATTTTTATACAAAAATACAGTCAAAAATTTACGGTCAACTAAAACTTTTTAGGGATTAATATAACACACATGTATTGGATAATTATTTGCTGTTTTATCTCATCTATACAATTAGTATATGCTGTGGATGTAAATTGTTCGTGTAACATAAATTCCACTGAATGTTACATTTTTGATGTTACTGTAAATTTAATTAATCCATGTCCATCAAATTTAACAGCACTCGTCATTTCTGGAAATATGAGCGTGTTAGCCAATAATCAATTGCCATCATTTCCTAACATACAAGAATTAACAGTTACACATTTGATATTATATGAAGCATTTTTACAAAAATTTCCCCTACTCACAACATTAACAATACGAGAATGTTCCTATAATGCCTCGTCACAATTTCTACAAAGTTCTGTAAACTCAAATATTAAAAGTTTAACAATGGAAAACAATAATTTGATTGATGGAACATTGCCAAATAATCCATTTCAAATATTTCAACAATTGGTATCACTAACAATTATCGAACCGCAATTAAATACAACCTCACTGGGAACAAATGTTGATCGTAATCTTGATAGTCTTACATTAGAATTAGGATCATATCAGAATTTTGATTTAAACAGCTGGACAAATCCAAGACAGTATTTATCAAGATTTGAAATAAGAAACTTAATAACTCTTAGTGTATTTCCGTCAGAATTTTTTAGTAAATTTCCCAAATTAAATTATTTGATTTTATCTGGCAATTTTATACTAAAAACCGAAGACATTTGTGCGTTTTATCATTATCCATCACAGAAAGTTTATAACCGACTTCCCATTACATTAGAGCAAACAACGGGACCAAATGATCAATGTGCAAAAAACTATATTGATGCTATTAATCGATATGATTGTACAGCTCCTTTACCGTGTCCATCTGCCTCCGAATGCAGACAATATGCAAATCAAATAAACTCATGTGAATTGGCATCATTTGAAAATAATTGTACAAATACCTTAGTGGTCAATCAATCAGCACCGGCTTTTTCATATCAGCAAAGTTGTTTATTTGCACTTGTAAACATTTGGCTGAATGATGGTCCATCACCTACACCTGGTCCATTGAGTTCAAATGATTCCAATCCCATCAATATTGGTGCTGTGGTTGGTGCCATTATCGGCCTTGTAGCTACCATTATTATTTTATGCGTCACATTCTATTGTATCTACCGATATCGTCAGAATAACAATATTTATATAAACTCGGAGGATAAATATCGAAGAAGCTCAAATACAAATTCGCAGTATACAGACGTTTCCGTTGCAACAAGTAAATCGTCCGGTCAACCATTGTTTCCTCAAAATGACAAGGGTATTGTAGTGGCACCACTTTACAACGTGTCAGAAACTTCTTCCATCTACTCTGCACCAGCGGCTTCAAAATATCGGCCATCGGCTCCAAAATACCAGCCATCGGACCCACGACTTAGTACCTTAACAGAAAATGGCCATCTTTATGAAGAAGTTTTAAACACCTAAAAATGAATCACATCAAACTCGCTCAAACCCATTGATTTCATTATTTTTAGTGTTCGAACTTTCACTTTGTAATTGACCAATGTCATCAATTTTATCACTTTCTTTTATATTTATTCTAATAATTCATACAATCATTCAAAGTTAACAAGCGTTTAAGAATTTTACGCCATATTTTGAAGATAGCCTGTTTGTGATTCTGAATCTCGTTGATGCAAGACAGTCTTCTAACTCCTGCAATTATAGGAATTTAGGAGGAACTGTAGGTGATTACACGGCTATTTACTACTGACATGAGTAGCAATTTCTACGGTTGAATGTGAAAGAAGACATACTGTACAATAGACTCATGTTATCTACCTGAGGATAAGGTTTTAACAAACAAATGTTCTTCGTTTAAGAGCTCTAATAAGTATCATCCGGACACTTGATCATAACATGTCTATATAAACGCTGAACGATCACTGGTTATTTCATGAAATTTTTCAATTACTATCCGTTTCTAAAACACGAGAGACTTTTTTAATTCCTAATTAACTTTTAAACGAAAAATGATAGAGATTTACGATTTTGTATCATTCGCTTGTCGAAAGTTGGATACATCTTTTCTTAAAAAATATATTTAAACGAACTTTTACTACCTAGAAGAGCTTTGAAAAACCAGTTCACTATTCAAAAAGTAGACATAACCTACGAAGCAAAAGTAATTGGACAAAATGTCTCACCGCTTTTCTTGTGATAAAATATATTTCGGAAAAATGAAAAAATCTGTTGAGAATCTGCATTTAAAGAGCTTTCGAACTATGTGTTTAAAAGTTTTCTATCGCTTTTAGTCTCCCCAGAATGAGCGAGTCTATGCTGTGCCCTAAAAACTAAGTAAAAAAAGAAAAACTGGTATTTTTCGACAAATATAAGTCACGGGCTTGGCAAAATCAAAAAGTAAGGAAGGTCTCTTGTGGATAAACGTTTTTTGCCCTTGCTTTCTGCAACAGAACGCAATAAAAAATGTTCTCCTCGCCACTGGCGCTCTGGAAAACAATATTTTCCGTCTGGCGAAAATATTTTTTTCCAGAGCAGAAAAGTGTGTGACCCCTTCTAGGAGTCATTGTACGAGAAAGACGACTGTTTCTCACAGGAGCGTGCTCAATGACTATTTCAGATTTCTTTCTAAGTAGCCTCATCTTGTAGAGCATGGTCGAAAACCTATAAATTCAAATTTGTAGGCTTCCTGAACTTTTCGTTCTGTAGATATGAAATTTTTTCGACTAGA